TGACTCCTGAAGTTTGCTCCAATTCATGTCCATAAAGTCGGTGATGCTATCTAACCATCTCATCCTCTGCCACCCCCTTCTCCTTTTGCCTTTAATCTTTGCCAGCATCAAGGTTTTGTCTAATGAGTCAGCTCTTCGCATCAAGGGGCCAAAGTATTGGAGCTTCAGCAACAGTCCTTCCAATGAAGATTCAGGGTTGATTTCCTTTAGGATTGACTAGTTTGATCTACTTGCAGTCCAAGGAACTCTCAAGAGTCTTCTCCAACCCCACAATTAGAAAGCATCAGTTTTTCAGCACTCAGCCTTCTTTATGGTCCAACTCTTTATGGTTCATTTACATGACTACTGGAACAGCCAGAGCTTTGACCATATGCACTTTTGTCAGCAAAGTGATGTCTATGCTTTTTAATAGCTGTCTAGGTTTATTATAGCTTTCCTTCCAAGGAACAAGTATAAGTTACCATCTGCCATGATTTTGAACCCCAAGAAAATAAAATTTGTCACTGCTTCCACTTTTCCCCCTCCTATGTGCTATGAAGTGATGGGACCGGATGCCATGATCTTAGTTTTTTAAATGTTGAGTTTTAAGCCAGCTTTTTCACTCTCCTCTTTCACCCTTATCAAGAGGTTCTTTAGCTCCTCTTCACTTTATGCCATTAGAGTGGTATCGTCTTCATATCTGAGGTTGTTAATATTTCTCCTGGCCATTTGATTCCAGCTTGTGATTCATCTAGTCTGGCATTTCATGTGATGTGCTCTGAATTTAAATTAAATAAGCAGGGTGACAGCATACAGCCTCATCATAGTCCTTTCCCGGTTTTGAACCAGTCAGTTGTTCCATGTCCAGTTCTAACTGTTGCTTCTTGACCCACATACCGGTTTCTCAGGAGACAGGTAAGGTGGTCTGGTACTTCCATCTCTTTAAGAATTTTCCACAGTTTGTTGTGATCCACACGGACAAAGGCGTAAGCGTAGTTAATGAAGCAGAAGTAGATGTTTTTCTGGAACTCCCTTGCTTTCTCCATGATCCAGTGAATGTTGGCAGTTTGATCTCTGGTTCCTCTGCCTCTTTGAAACCCAGCTTGTGCATCTGGAATTTCTTGGTTCAAGTACTGATGAAGCCTAGCTTGAAGGATTTTGAGCATAAACTTGCTAGCATGTGAAATGAGCACAATTGTGCAGTAGTTTGAGCACTCTTTGGCATTGCCCTTCTTTGGGATTGGAATGAAAACTGACCTTTTCCAGTCCTGTGGAAAAGTTTTCCAAATTTTCTGACATATTGAGTGCAGAATTTTAATATCAACAGATCTTTACAAATCTTTTAGGATTTTACAACAAATTTAGAAAACTTACTTTACAAATCTTACAACAAATTTTAGCAAATCTTTTAGGATTTTAAATAGCTCAGCTGGAATTCTGTCACCTCCACTAGCTTTGTTAATCGAAATGCTTCCAAAACCCACTTGACTTCACACTCCAAGGTGTCCGGCTCTAGGTGAGTGACCACATCATCATGGTTATCCAGGTCATTAAGACCTTTTTGGTACAGTTCTTCTGTGTATTCTTGCAACCTCTCCTTCATCTCTTCTGCCTCTATTAGGTCCTTACCATTTCTGTCCTTTCTCATGCTCATCCTTGCATGAAATGTTCCCTTGATATCTCCAATTTTCTTGAGGAAATCTTTGGTGTTTCTCATTCTGTTGTTTTCCTCTATTTCTCTGCATTGTTCAGTTAAGATGGCCTTCTTATCTCTCCTTGCTATTCTCAGGAATTCTGTATTCAGCTGGGTGTATCTTTCCCTTTCTGCTTTGCCTTTAACTCCTCTTCTTTTCTCAGCTGTTTGTAAAGCCTCCTCAGACAACCGCTTTGCTTCCTTTCTTTTTCTTTTGGATGATTGTGGTCACTGCCTCCTGTACAATGTTCAGGCACTCTGTCTATCCGATCTAGTCCCTTGAATCTATGTATCACTTCCACTGTATAATCATAAGGGATTTGATTTAGGTCATACCTGAATGGTCTAGTGTTTTTCCCCATTTTCTTCAATTTAAGGCTGAATTTGGCAATAAGGCGTTCATGATCTGAGCCACAATCAACTCCACGTCTTGTTTCTGCTGACAGTATAGAGTTTCTCCATCTTTGGCTACAAAGAATATCATCAATCTGATTTTGGTATTGACCATTTGGTGATGTCCACGTGTAGAGTTGTCTCTTGGATGGTTGGAAAAGGTTGTTTTCTGTGACCAGCATGTTCTCTTGGCAAAATTCTGTTAGCCTTTCCCCTGCTTCATTTTGTATTCCAGTGCCAAACTTGCTTGTTATTTTGGGTATCTCATGACTTCCTACTTTTGCATTCTAATCCCCTATGATGAAAGGGACATCTTGTTTTGGTGTTAGTTCTAGAAGGTGTTGTAGGTCTTCATAGAACCAATCAGCTTCAGCTTCTTCAGCGTCAGTGATTGGGGTTACTGTGATGTTGAATGGTTTGCCTTGGAAATGAACTGAGATCATTCTGTCGTTTTTGAGATTGCCCCCAAGTACTGCATTCCAGACTCTTGGTGACTGTGAGGGCTACTCCATTTCCTCTAAGGGATTCTTGCCCACAGTAGTAGATATAATGGTCATCTGAATTAAGTTCGCCCATTCTCATCCATTTTAGTTCACTGATTCCTAAGATGTAGATGTTCAATCTTGCCATCTCCTGCTTGATCATGTCCAATTTACCTTGATTCATGGACCTAACATTCCAGGTTCCTATGCAATATTGTTCTTTACAGCATCGGACTTTGCTTTCACCACCAGACACATCTACAACCTGAACGTTGTTCCTGCTTTGGCCCAACTGCCTCATTCTTTCTGGAGCTGTTAGTAATTGCCCTCCACTCTTCCCCAGTAGTATACTGGACACTTTCTGACCTGGGGGGCTCATCTCCCCTGGGGGTGTCATATCTTTTTGCTTTTTCATGCTGTTCATGGGGTTCTAGCGGCAAGAATACTGAAGTGGTTTGCCGTTCCCTTCTCCAGTAGACCATGTTTTGTCAGAACTCTCCACTGTGACCCGTCCGTCTTGGGTGGACCTGCACTGCATGGCTAATAGCTTCACTGAGTTATCAAGCCCCTTCACCACGACAAGGCTGTGATCCATGAAGGGGTAGTATATCATAGGTGCTTAGTAAATAGATGTTAAGTAAATACATTATTTCATTTGAAGTTCCTCAACAAAATGTGGCCAGTAGAGCAGAGGATGCTGTTACTTATTCTACAGATATGCAAACTTAGGCTCAGATGCTTGACTTCATGGGAACTGAGGGAGCTCAGTCCTTTTGATTCCTAATCAGCAGCTGAGGGTGTGGGTCGAAGGTAGGGAGGCTTATGCCCCAGACAGGTCTCATCTGGGCCTCTGCTCAGCAAGTTGGTGAGCTACTCAGAGATAAGGTGATAAGACAAGGAGTTAAGTTATTCCCAAGAAAGAGCCTGGGAAGCTAGGAATTGCAAAAATCATTGCCCTGCTGGTTGGGAAAGGAAAAGTGACGTCCTTGAACAGGTAGCTTTTTGGTGCCGCTCAGTTCCACCCTCACTCCTGCTACTAACTCTGCCCCAAGAGGTAGTGAGCGCCCCGTCACTGGAAGTGTTCAGGCAGGGGCTGGATGTCTCCTTACAGAGCATGCCTGAGTTGGAGAGTTATATACTCACATCTTGGTAGAAGGCAGGCCTTCTGTCTTGGAACAGAAGCTCTGCAGATTAGTGACCCAGACATCAACACAAGAGGCTTTGCGCCACCTGGTGGACAAGGTTTTAAACTGCAGGCCCTTCCAGGGAGAGAAGCCTTCAGCCTGAGTGTGCCTGGAATCCTAAACAGTGAAGGCAGAGTCTCCAACCATTTCAGGAGAACCGCAGTGAGAGCTCGGGAGGGTGAGGGGTGCAGGGGGACAGGGCTGCACTGGGCCAGGCACCACATGTATCAGAGAGGTCCCTGTTACAGGGAGGATTTATCACCAGGACTCAGGACTTCTGAGCACGTCCCTGGATTTGAAGGGAACACCTCTTTCCCGAACTTTATTCCAGATTCATTCCTGGGATGACAAACTGGGAAGCTACTTGGGGGAAGAGGCGGGGGGGCCTAGAGATGGGGTGTTGGGGGAGGTGAGGAGGAGGCTCATTTGTTCATTCTGCTTATCTTTGTGTTTAGGAATGACTCTGAATTATCTCTGCCTAGAAGTAATATTTTCCAGTTGAGTTCAGTTCTGCAAGAGCCTCCATGAAACCATCCATTAACCTCACCCCCGTCAAAAAAAAAGCCCTCTATATTTTTGCTCCATGGGTACAGATTCTGAAAGATTTTGTCTACCAAAGTGCATATTATCTACTATCTTACTGTATCATTTATTATCAGTCAAAGGCCTCTGCAGTAGCTGGTAGGAGCTATGATGAGCTTCGTGCATTGGCCTTACCATAGTGTTCATTTAATGTGAGCAAAAGTGAAAACATCTGAGAGCGTGGTGGGTCAGTGCAGCCCCATCTGAGGTGAGCCTCATTCTGCTCATCCCCTCCTAAAAGTCTGAAACAGGCCCCAGCTCCCGCCCCAGGCTCTGCTCTGGGTGGTGAACCACAGAGATCGAGCCCCCATCCTGGGCCAGCTGCTCCTCTCACCATTTCTCCTTCTGGTTTCACTTCATTACTGAGAAAGGAGAACAGGTTTAATCAGCGGGCCACCCCAAACCTGGATCTGGGTGTCAGAGCCCAGCCAGGATCCTGTGACGGGTGTAGGACAGCCCCCAGCCCAGGACCTGGTACTGCATGTCTCGGGACAGTCTGTTGGGTGAGCAACTGAAGTCTCCTTGTGGACGGGCTTCAGATAGTTTTTATTCTCAGAGCATCACTTACCATATGAAATAGGATATGTGCAGGTTTTGCTGTTGGGAAGTTCCCCCTGCGTTCCTCATTGGTCAGACCCAGGACCAATGAGAAAGAGACCACCTGCTCCCTAAGAGCTCTGTCCTCACCTTCTCAGGGTCTCAGCGCCAGTCCTGATCTGCTTCCCTGTCTGAGCCAGCCAGGCTGACCCCAGCACGAGCTTCAGGGACCCCTTTGCCCTTCGCCAGGGATGAGCCTCTGCAGCCTGCCCTGCACCCCACATTCTCCCTAACCCCTCAGACTAGAAGGCCCTCCTCCCCACTGCACCTCCAGACCTCACCCTTCACTCCCCACTTGCCACCCCCAAACTTAAGCTTTTCTTTGGAGCAGTGTTTGCTGGGATAACTTCTATTGAAATGTTAAAAATCAGAAGAGACATGCCTTTCTGTTTTAGCAACACTCCCCAAGGCTTGGGCATTTTGTTGTTGTTAAGAAGTGTCCAGTGAGTCAACTTTTATTTAGATGATGATAATATTGGGGGTCAGGAAAAATTTAAGAAATTAAAGGATAATGACGACTTGGTGGCCAGAGGTTTCTCTTCTCCACTTGCCACAGACAATGCCGTAGCATTCAGGCGTCTTCTCCAGCATGGGCAGGAGTTTTTACATAAATGGAGCCTTTCACAGAGCTACTTCTGGCAGAAATTTTATAACCACTTCACCATATCTCTCTGCAAGTGGCCACTCGTGAGAGTAACAATGGCTTTGTTATACAGACCACATCTTTAACACAGAATTGAGTTTTAAGGGGGTTTTTATCTAGGCCTCAGAGATGGAATCATCCTGCCTGGAGAGCGCAGAAGACTTAGTGAATTACAATATTCTGCCCTTACCTCTGATGCTTGATGACGCTGTTGATCAGCAGCGGCTGGGCTTTCTGACCTGAACATCAACCTCAAGTTCCATTTTGGACACAGAGATGAGTGGGCCTGGTGGGAGAGGGAGACTGAAGATGACAGAGATAGCCTCAACCTGATAAGTTACTAAGTTAGTAACTGGCTGTGTTCTGTTTGCTTGTTTTTGTGTTTTTGGCCAGGCCTCATGGCTTGCAGGATCTTAGTTCCCTGGGATTGAACCCCGGCCCACGGCAGTCAAAGCACTGAGTCCTAACCACTGGACTGCCAGAGAATTCCCTAATAACTTTTTTTTTTTAATTGGAGGAAAATTGCTTTACAAGGTGTCATCTGGTAAGTAGTTTTTAAAGGTAATGAATTTCTTCTCTAACTCTATTATCGGCAGGTGTGTAAAGCGCCACTTTTCCTCCCATCAGGCCGTGTGTGTCTCTCAGAGCGGATTGTAATTCCTGGAAGATGCGTTCACTTTAAATCCACTCATTTGCCTATCTTTCCTTCCAGGTAGGTATAGAGTCTGCTGCCTCGAATGGGGACCCCAGGAACAGTTGTTCTCCATACTACACCCACCACGAGCGGCCCAGCGAGTATCCAAAGGCCTTGGTGGCTGCGGGGGAGGTTTGCCAGGACTCTGCCAGATATGAGACTCCCCATCTCTGTGGGTTCCCAGGGCCCCTTGATGACCCTGGGCGGAAGAAGGGAAATTGAGTCATGCTAAGGCTAAGGAGGGGACAGAATGAAGCCTGGCCCCAGACGTGTTCTTGTGCTCCGCATCGAGGGGAACTGAGTTCATGCCAAGCTCACACTGAGCACCAAAAACAATCCTTGCTTGGCTTCCTTCTCCTCCTTGACTGGCAGGCACTGGAGAGTGGTGTTGGTTTCCTTTCTGTGACTTTTCAGTTTGTGCCTTGCAATGCAAAGTCTGGTCCGTGGACCAGCAGGGTAACCTAGGAACTTAGAACGTCAAGCCCCACTTGAGAATCTGAATCGACACCAGACTTATAACACGATTCCCAGGAAGTTTGGTGATTTGTGTGTACTCTGGAGTTTGAGAAGCACTGGTTTAGCGGGCACTATTCTGTCTGATCCTCACATTAACCCTCTGTCATGGGTGCTGTTCAAAACTGTGCAGGGAGGTGAAGTGCCCTGTCACACAGCCAGAGGCAGGATTTAAACCCAGATCCAGCCCCTTCCACACCATCAGCTCATAATTATGGGGTTTCATTGGCTTCAAAGTGAAAGTGAAAGTCACTCAGTCGTGTCTGATTCTTTGGGACCCCATAGACTGTATAGTCCATGGAATTCTCCAGGTCAGAATACTGGAGTGGGTAGCCTTTCCCTTCTCCAGGGCCTCTTCCCAACCCAGGGATCGAACCCAGGTCTCCTGCACTGCAGGCGGATTCTTTACCAGCTGAGCCACAAGGGAAGCCCTTGGTAGTTTTAGCTGTTGGTGGTAACTTAAGCCGAGGGTTTGTCTGACCATATGCACACGTATGTGTCCACGCCAGTGTGTGTGTGTTGGTATGTGTGTATATAGCAAACACAATTTTGAGATCAGGTTGGTATTATATATTTATTTTAACTAGGTGACAAATATTGGCCTTTACCATGAAGACCTTTATCATATAAGAAATGATTTCTATAAGTTACATTAAACTGAATTTACTCTGCCTTTCCAGTATTTCCACACTGAGGTGACATTGCTCACATCTTTGATTGATCCAGAAGGCTCTTTGAAGTAGAATTAGTATAAATATAAGTAAGGGTAGATCTCAGTTGACTGCCTGGTGTGATGGTAAAACAGGGCTAGTTAGTAATGAGTAGCAACTAATTAACCTGTTAAACTAGGAAAATAAAGTGACTGTCGTCCAGTTTCAGAGAGATTTCACGGGATAGCTGATTTCTGTTCGTCCTCATAATTGGTGATAACTATATTAAAAATCTGATACCCAGGCACCATAGGAAGTGACACAACCTACTGACTAGCAGATGCAGAGAAACCAAAAGACAGGTAATGGGAAAGTTTCCATCAGTGTCCTTCCTACTGGCAAGTCTCTGGATTCAGCTTGGTCATCGCCAGTAACTCAGATGTGTGTGAGGCCAGTTGAGGGTAAATGAACAGGTCCAGTCAAGTCAGACAGCTCTAAACTCTAGGCCCCCGCCCCGGTGACATGCCCCCTCTTCATGTTTGGAATAGAGGGCAATAATAGCATGTTTTTTTCTTTTAGCTGTGCCAAGGGGCTCATGAGATCTTAGTTCCCTGACCAGGGATTGAACCCCATACCCCTGGCAGTGAAAGCAGTGTCCTAACCACTGGGCTGCCGGGGAATTCCCAATGATAGCATTTAAACTTAGCTTGTTGAAGTGACACTTGTGTTACTGTCTGTGAAGACAACTGGAATCTCAGCTCTTATTCCTTCAGGTGCCAATTCAGGGAGGGTTCTTAGAGAGGTTCATGTCACATGGAGATTTCTACCAAGGAGGGAAACGATGGACAGATTGCGTCCCCACTGTCAGAAACCCCTCCAGATGTCCCCAAGACGCCAACACAGTGATCCATTCCTCTGGCCCGCGTGCTTCTCTTGGTGCCATTTCTAGGGTGTGGTTTCTGTAACTTCGTAATGTGGTTTCAAGTCAATGTGTGAGTTTCCTCCAGCTGCCATTCTCCTTTCTCAAGATCCTCTTGGCTGTTTGGGGTCCTTTATGGTTCCATGCAAGTGTCAGGGTTGTTTGTTCAGCTTCTGTGAAGAAACCCATTGGAATTTTGATGGGAACTGTATTGAATGTGCATACTGTTTTAGACAGAATGGACATTTTAGTATTACTAATTCTTTCCATTCATGAGCACAGAATATCTTTCCGTTTATTTGTGTCTTCAGATTTCTTCATCAATGTCTTAAGGTTTTCAATGTGCAGCTCTTTCACATGTTGGGTTAAATTTATTCCTAGGTGGTTGGTTCTTTTGATGTTATTGTAAATGGGATTGTTTTCTGGATTTCTGTCTTGGATAGTTCATTGTTAGTGTGTAGAAACACTACAAGTGATTTCTGTATACTGATTTTGTATCTGCAGGTTTACTGAGTTCATTTTTTGGTCCTAACAGGTTTTTTTTGGTGATTTGATATGGAAAGCTGGAATTAGAAATCCCACTGTTTCTACCACATCCGGGTCACCCACAACACCCAAGACACAGTGACTACTAATATAGTCTTCCCCCAGTGCCCTTTTAAAATATGTGAAATCATATAAAAGTGAATTGCGTCATCATTTTGGGTGAGAAGGATCTGGGTAGAGCTTGGCCTCTATAGCAAAGCTCGTTGTCTTCTCTCCTTTTATTGACACGATTGTTTTGAAAAGTAATTTATTTACCAGTAACTTCAAATGTACTGAAAATCTTCTGTGGTACAAAGTGCTCACTTTTGCCACTGCACACAAAATACGTCAGTATGTCTTACCCAAAATGAGGACCGTCTTCCAGGGAACCAGCACAAGGCCTTCACATAAGGAAATTATTATAGTTTCCACGTTATGATCCAATCCTCAGGCCCGCCTCAGCGTTCACCAGCTGCCCCAGCTCTCAGGAAATGTCTCTTTTCATTCTGATCCTGTTTGTTCTTCTGAACCATGACTGATACTTTTCCCTCATTTTCCCTCATCACAACCTTGATGGATTGAACGTGCACAAAATAAGTAAGATCTGAGTGGCCTTTTCTATACTGTAACATGTATTAGTACTCCATTTTTTATTGTGGCTAAATGTACTAACATTTACCATTTAAACAATTTTAAGAAAACACTTCCATGGTATTAACCACATTCACACTGTTGTACAAATTTGCTCACCATCCATGTTCAGATCTTTTCCATTTTCACCAATGAACCTCTGTAGTCACTGGATACTAATTCCCCTCAGCCCCTGGCAACTGCATTCTACTTTCTGTCTTTGAATTTGACTTGTCTGGATACCTTGTTTAAGTGGAATCATACCATTTTTGTCCTTTTGTGACAGGGCTATTTCACTTACCATAATGGATCAAAATTCATATATGTTGTAGCATGTGTCAGAATTTCCTTAGTTTTTAAGGCTGAATTTTCAGTGCTTTTTGTGTATACCACATTTAGTTTACCCATTTATTGATTGATGGACACTGGGAACACTTCCACCTTTTGCTGTTGTGATTAATATTGCTATGAAGATGGGTGTACCTGTATCTGTTCCCTACTTTCAATCCTTTGGGTATATACCCTCATGTGGAGTTGATGGATCATATGTTAATTTTATGTTGAAGTTTTTGAGGAACTGCCATACTCTTTTCGACGGAGGTGATGTCATTTCACTTGATTCTTTTTATGGTAGAATAATATGGCTCAGCCATCATGTTGTTTATCCATTTACCCATTGGTGGACGTTAGCGTTGTTTATCTCTCTTAGCTGTTGTGAACAATGCTGCTTTCAATAGATGTATACATCTGTTTTCAATTCTTTGGGTTCTGTATCCAGGGGTGGAGTTGTTGGGCCATATGGCGATTGCATATTCATGGAGTAAACACAGGTTGCATCATTTTCCATTTCCACAATAAGGTTTAAAAGTTCCAGTGTCTCTGCATTGTGGCCAACATATGTTATTTTTAATTTTCTTGATTATACTCATTTTAAAGTGGGTGAAGGAGTTATTGCATTGTGATTGTAAGTTGCATTTCCATCATATCTTTTCATCTGCTTGTTGACCATTTGCATGTCTTGTATGGAGAAGAGTCTATTTAAGTCCTTTGTCCATCTTTAAAACTGGGGTGTCTTTGTTGATGAGTTCTAAAAGTCCTTGATACACACTGGATAAAGGCTCATCAGATATATAATGTGGAGTTATTTTCCTCCATTCTGTGAGCTGTCGTTCCACTTTCTAAATTGCATTTTTTGATGCAAAAGAGGTTTCTGATTTTGAGGAAATCTGTTTTCCTTTGGTTGCTGGTGCTTTGCTGTCAGATTGAAGAAACCGTTGCTAAATCCAAGATTCTGAAGATTTAGCCCCATGTCTTATTGGAGACTTTACACAGCTGTCCTTCAGCATCCAGGAGGGATTGGCTCCAGGACACCCTGCAGATACCAAAATCTATGGATGCTCAAATCTGTTATATAAAGTAATCAAGTTCTGCAAATAACCTAGGCACATCTTCCTGTATACTTTGAATCATTCCTAGATTATATTTAAGAACTAATGCAATATAAATGCTATATAAATGTTGTAAAACAAGTAAATGCTATTTAAATAGTTGCTGGCATGTGGTAATTTTTTTTTTCCTCTTGAAACTTTTTGAATTTTTTTAAAATATTTTTTTGCTCTGAGAGCAGATTCTGAGTAAGCAGAGTTAGTCTTGCCAAAGGGGCAGAACTGAGTCTAATCAAGCTCTGCATCCAGCTGCCAATCAACAAAAATATAGAAAACGGAGGCATCTATTGAGCTATACCATTGGACACAATCGACAAAATCAGGACTGTGGGAAACTCTACAGATCAAATGCCCAGGGGTTTTCTAACAGATAACCCATAAGGAAAAGAAAAAAGAGAGGGAACCTATAAACTAAAGGAGACTTAAAAGACTTCTTTCAAGGCTAAGCTGCAGTATCCTAAGAATGCACCCAATTAGGGATGGGTGATAAACTATTAAAAATACACCCACAAGGAGGTGACTACTATAGAAGTCAGGAGCCTGGTTACTCTCAGGGAAAAGGATAAGTTGGGACTGAAGCACATGAAAGGATTGCTGGGGTGTCTTGAAAACTTCTATTTCTTGACCTGGGGAGTCTATGAGGGAGTCCATCTTATAAAAATAAATAACAACAATAATAATATAATAATAAACTATACATTTATTTTATGTGGCTTTTTATCTGTTTTATTTTTACAATAGAAAGCTTTTAAACATTCTTTTGCAAAACAAAGAATAAATGTATGAAGTAAATCTAAAAAAGAAATATATATTTTTTGCTATGGCATTAATTGAATCCATTGACGTGGAACCCATGGATACAAGAGACTAAGTGAAATTTTACTTTTTACATTTAAGACTTTTGTGTGTTTGAGATACTTTTTGCATGTGGTATGAGGTAAGAGTCCAGTTTCATTCCTCTGCATGTGGATATCCAATCATTTACACCATTTATGAAAAACATTTTCTTTCTTTCTTTCTTTTTTTTGGCTATGTGGCATGCAGGATCTTAGTTCCCTGACCAGGGATCAAACTCATGCCCCCACAGTGGAAGTGCAGACTTTTCACCACTGGACAGCCAGGGAAGTCCCCCACTTCCCCCCACCTTTATTGCTGTTACTGTAGTCTGACATCCATTCATCGTAGACAAATGGGTTTATCTCTGGGACCTCTATTCCGTTCCATTCATCTATATGTATATCTTCGTGTCGGTATCACCGTGTATTATTCAGTACTGCTGTGTGCTAACACTGGAGGTTGGTAAGTGTGAACCTCCAACATGGATTTTCTTTTTAAAAAAATGGTTCAGCTCTCTTTAGGTTCTCTTGAAATTCCACATTTCAGGTGTTGTATTCTGCTCTCCTTGACATGGAGGTACCCCAGTTTGCTTATGCATTATCTCCTGAAGACATCCTGATTGCTGTAAGGTTCAGACATGAGTAGAGGTCCTGTGTGTAATAGCATCCTTGTTTTTGTTTGATACAGCTTTTCAAAGCAGTTGTATGATTACTGGACGCATGAAGGGTGGCTCTCAAGGTGTGAGACCTGTTTGGCTCTGGAAGATACTGCTACCCTGTGTCTCAAGAGGCCGGATGCCTGTCCCGTCCGCAGTGAAGGAGGGCTGCTGTTCTGCCTCCTCCAGTTATCCGTGTTGTCATTTTGGGAGGTTAGCAGCCCTAATAGGGGTGGGCTGTCTTGTTATTTTTAAGATTGTTGTGTCTTTTTTTGCTGTGCTAGGTCTTCGTGGCTATGTGGCTTTTCTCTGTTTGCAGAAAGCAGGGGCTATTCTCTAGCTGTGGTGTGCGGGCTTCTCATTGCAGTGGCTTCTCCCATTGTGGAGCACAGGCTCAGTAGTTGCAGGACACAGACTTAGTTGCTCTATAGCCTGTGGGATCGTCCCAGACCAGGGCTTGAACCCGTATCCCCTGCATTGGCTGGCAGATTCTTTACCTCTGAGCCACCAGGGAAGCCCCTGTCTTGTTGTTTTAATTTCTCATTCTCTAATGGTATATACGATGCTTATTATATTTTGTCCACTTACTATCTGTATATCTTCTTTGGCCAGGTGTCTGTTCAAATCTTTACTCATTTGTAATGAAGGTGTTTGCTTTATAGTTGTACAAATTCTTTATCAGATATGCATTTTGCAAATTTTTTTTCTCCCAATTTATGACTTGTCTTTCGGTTTTCTGAATATTTTATAAAGTTTAAAATTTTTAAAGTCCATATTCAAAATTTTATTTCTTTTGTGAATAGGCTGTTGAGGTTTTGCGTTAAAGTTCACCAAGCCCAAGTTTATGTAGTTTTCCTTCTATGTTTTCATCTAACAGTTTTTATCCTTTTGCATCTAAATGTGTCTGTAAACAATTTCTCGGAGAAGGCAATGGCACCTCACTCCAGTACTCTTGCCTGGAAAATCCCATGGACGGAGGAGCCTGGTGGGCTGCAGTCCATGGGGTCGCTAAGAGTTGGACACGACTGAGCGACTTCACTTTCACTTTTCACTTTCATGCACTGGAGAAGGAAATGGCAACCCACTCCAGTGTTCTTGCCTGGAGAATCCCAGGGACGGGGGAGCCTGGTGGGCTGCCGTCTCTGGGGTTGCACAAAGTCAGACAAGACTGAAGTGACTTAGCAGTAGCAGCAGTAAACAATTTCTAGTGAGTTTTGGTGTAAACTGTAAAGTCTGTGTCTACAGTCTTTTAATTGCATGTGGTTTCCAATTAATTATTCTATAGCTATTTTTTGGAGAAGTCGTGGGTTATTTGGCTCCATTTCAGTTTGAATTTCCAAATTTAATGGAAATTTTCTGCAGGCTTGCCAACTGGGAGCATGGACTCCACTTAACTGAGAGGTTGCAGCCTGTACTTCCCAACCAGCCTCTCTGACCCTTGAGATGCATTTGTGTTTCCTTCCAACCTGTCACAGCCCAGGGTCTAAGTGTCCTGCGTCCTGTCTCCTCCACAGCCCATTGCCTTTCAACAATGTTGAGGGTTACCTGAAGGTCTAGAAATCTCCTCACCCTCTGTGTCTGGGAAATGGCTTCCTGTGAAGACCCTTCCCCACAAAGACTCTGCTGGAACTCAGGATATCACCTTCCTTTTTTTCTTTCTTTTTTTTTTTGCACACCCCACCCTCACCCCACACAGCACATGGGGTCTTAGTTCCCCACCCAGGGATTGAACCCAAGTGAGAGTGAGAAGTCCCAAGCATTGGACTGCCAGTATCCACCGTTTCCTGACCAGGCCACACAGTCCCAGTCCCCCCCAGGCTTATCAGCCCAGAGCTGATGCGCTCCTTCCTAGGATCAGTCAGAAAAAGGGCCTGATCCCTGTGTCCCCCTCCTCCCAGCAGGAGCTGCAGCCCCTGCCCTCCCGTTGGCAGAAGGCCCCTCAGGGCATCTCCTGAGTTGAGCCTCTGATCCTCAGTCAGGCCACCTTTCATGCCAGCCCCACATCCGGGCCTTTGTACTTGCATTTACAACTCTCCATGGAGAAATCTCCTTTGCCCCAGCTATCCAAATGTTTGCAGACTCTGTCTCTCTTCTTCCAGCGTTTCAGTCTCAGAGTTACCTGTCACCAGTCACAGTCCCTGAAGAGCCCAGAGATTTCTCCTGGAAGGAAAGACTCTAGAGAAATCACAGGGATAAATGCAGAGTGCAGCCAAGCCTTGCCTGTGCTGATGCCCAAGCAGGTGAAGACAGTGAATGATTTCTGGTGAGACTTTTAAAGTCCCCCAAGTAATAGATCATCTGGGTGCATACTGTGTCTTCCGGCTCATTCTAAATGCATGTCATTCCAGAATTTTAATGGGGGAATTTCTTAATCTCCTAAATATGCCGAGTGGCGCATATGTTTAAAAAACGTTATCGCTGTACCTCCGAGTATTTCCACACAGTAAGGACGCCGTTTGTTCAGACGCAGTCCGAGAGCTTGCCGACAGAAGCCTTGGCCGCGACCCTCCTCCCACAGGTGAGCCTCGTCAGGCGCCTCCTGTCCAACCCCATGGCAGAATGCGAGATTGGCCGAGGGCCTGGCAGGCAGCTGGCTAGAGATGCAGACAAGAGAAAACCGCCCAACAGCCAGGGGCCACCCTGGAGCGTGGCCTCAGAAGCCCAGTCCAGCCAACAGCATCTCCACGCCAGGAGCCGCACACCATGCCTGGAACTCTCCTGGGTGGGGATGTGCCAGGAAACCGTGAGTTAGAAGGAGAGGTGATGGCGGGCGCAGCCAGAGAAGCTTTGCGCTGAAAAGTTTCTGTTCCCACCCCTGACACCGGCTTGGTGTTTGGTCTCCAGCAGGCCCGTCCCGCCTTGGCCTGGGTTTTCTCACCGGTGGAGAAGTGAATTGGATGCCAGCTTATTGAGTTTTCTCTGAGGTGCCTCTTCCAGCCCCATGGGTACCCCACTCCCACTTAGGCACCTAGTCGTTTGGGGTCCTCAGCTGATGCAGGTTTAGTAGATTTCCGTCGGTGGTTTCCTAAGAGGAGGGAAAGGTGGGAAGGAGGGTGTGATTTGTTGCAGAGACGGATCTCCCTGCACCTGGGAAGGCAGGACACTCCTTTCCCCTTTTGCTCCTCTGATAGCCCACCACTGTCATCAGCAGATGACTGAACGTGGCTTCTTCCCAATCATGGTGCAAAATGTAGAATTTTTCGCAAAGAAATTTGACTTTTAATGAGAGGGTAGATCATAGGAGAGAATAATTAGACAGTATACACATGCCAGGTTGATTTTAAATCAAAGTTTTTAGGTCAAGTTATCTTAGTTACTCCATTAACTGTTTTCAGCTAGCAGTTTCAATAATTGTATTAGCACAATGCCTGGCAGTGTTAATTGCTTTTTGCATCCTGTTCATTGTGACCTCAGAGTCAGTGCCTGGGCTGGTGTTAGTGTGTGAGTGTGTGTGTATGTGAGAGAGAGAATATGAGTATGCGTGTGTGTGCACACACACTGAGGGGGCCTTCCTCCTGATTTTTTCTACAGTAGTACCTTGTGTTTACTTATTATGTATAATAATTTGTATCTCCTAATCCCAGACTCATTTATCCCTCCCTCCTTTCCCCTTTGCTCACCTTAAATTTGTTATCTATGTCCATGAGTTTCTTTTTATGTAAATAAGTTTGTTGTGTCATATTTTGGATTCTATATGTAAGTCATACCATATGGCGTTTGTCTTTCTCTGACTTACTTCAGATGCATGGCCTAATGCTGCAAATGGCATTATTTTGTTCTTTTTCATGGCTGAGTAATATTCCATATTATTTATATACCATATCTTCTTTACCCATTCATCTGTCGATGGACATTTAGGCTGCTTCCATGTCTTGGCTATTGTAACTAGTGCTGGTATGAACATTGGGGTACATGTATCTTTTTGAATTAGAGTTTTCTCTGGATATATGCTCAGGAGTATCATTGCCGGATCCCATGGCAACTCTATTTTTAGTTTTTGGGGGAACCTCCACACTGTTCTCCATAGTGACTGATTGATTTAAAGCCAGCTCATGTGATTTCAGGGGATGCTGATTGATTTAAAGCTGACTCACTGACTTAAAGTAGTGGGGTGGGCTAGGGAGGAGCAAGTGACCTGGGAGACTTTGAGAGAGAAATGCCTCCCTCTGCAGGTCACTTCATTGTGCTTGGAGGGAGAAGAGGAAGAAATCAGGCTGCAGGTCCCCCAGGGCGGGGGAGGGGAGGAGCGGGAGGCGCTGAGAGCGGGCCTTAGAGCAGATGGCCACTGGAGGGCGCCAGAGCACCGGCAGAGCCCCCCTGCAGCTCTCCCGGGGGACCTCCCGGTGGGAAAGGAGCTGGAGCCGGGGCTGGTGGAATCCCAGGGACGCGCCCAGAGAGGAGGGGTGGTCACCGGGAGCTTCTACCCCGGCCCAAATTGCCTCTCCTCACAGAGGGCACAGAGGTCTACCTTCAGCACCCGATGGGGACACTTCCAGCTTGGTCGGGTGGTCCAGTGGTTGGACAGCCTGAGGGGACGTCTGGGATCTGACTGCCCTTTATTTACCCGGAGGCGGGGCTCGGCCCAGAAATACTGGGCCTAACTCTTGGACTTGCAGTTTCTAAGCTACAGGCCTGCATGCGTGTTGGCATCTGGAAAACGGGGCTGTGGTCGTGAACATGGAGCAGGCAACAGCGGTAGTATTCTGGTGGGCAGGCTGTGCCCTTTCTCTCAAGAGTTCTCCCCAAACTTTCTTCTTCCCTTCCTATCTGAGCCTCTTCCCCACCCCACCCCCCTTTCTAGGGGGGGCTCTGACCTAAAGCCAGGTCATGTGACTTAAGGGTGTATGACTGGTTTAAAGCCAGATCATGTGACTTATGTATGACTTTGTTTTCTTCCGATTTTAAAAGAAATTGGGCCATTTTCGTGGGCCCCTGAAAGTGTGGAGGCCCCCGCACTGGGCCTGCGATGAGGCAACCCAGCGTTTCCGTCTGTGTGGTGCTTCTCCCCAGAGCTCTTCATCACTTCCCCGCCCCCGGCTGTGTGCAGTGGAAGGTGCTCAGGGCTCATCAGGTCCAGCCTGACAGGCAAGAAAACTGAAGCAGAGGAGAGAAACGACTGTCTGAGGCCACCCCGTGACCACGACAAGGACTAAGCCAACCTCTGACCGCCAGATCCCTAAACAACACAAAAGGGAGAACTAGTTTTCGCGTTTGGAAAAAAAAAAAAAGATATGCATCACGCGTTCCTTCATTTATTCCAGCTCCGGCCACGTGCCAGGCACCATGCTGCTGCTTGGGACAGGTGCAGAGTGAAGCAGGCAGGAGGGGCCCCGGTAACCAATGACTGTCTCATGACGGTCCTGACCAGGACACAGTGGAAAAGTGCACTGTGCTACAGACACAGAAAGCGGAGCAACAAAACCCAGCCTGGGAGGAAGAAGAGGCTTCCCTTATTTATTCGGAGACCTAAGAAAGAAGAAGAAATGTCTGAATTGACCCAAAAATTAATTAAGGGAAAAAATTGTGGTACTACAGAACCACATAATCAGGATCTGATGGTACTAACCAAAGATTGACAAGTATCACTGGAAAAGAAGAGGGAGCCATAGGGGTGTGTGTGACATAATTTAGTGGGAAAGGATAGCTAATTTGAGGTATGATAAAACCACAACTGGCTCTCTACCTGGAAAAATCTGTATTTGGACCCTCACCTCCCACCCGTCACAAAGATCAGTTCCAGATGGATTAAGGCCTAATGAATTGAACAATAAATAGAAACCCTAACAGAAGTGGAAATAGAAAACCATATGTGCTGAACAAGGGTAGCAGAGACTCAACCGTGACAGGAAACTCAGACTGTAATAAAAAGTGAAGCATATATCTGGCTGCATTAATTTTTATATGTGTGTCAAAAGATACCATAAGCAAAATTAAAAAAGGATGGATTTGAAGGAATTCCAAAATTCCCCATTGCAATGCAGATGACAGATAAAATACCTGCAGGCTTCCCTGGGTGGCCCAGTGGTAGAGAGTCTGCCTGCCAACCCAGGGAGACATGGGTTTGATCCCTGATTCCTGGGAAAATCCTGCATACTGTGGGGCAACTAAGCCCGTGTGCCACAACTACTGAGCTTGGGCTCTAGAGCCAGGGGATCCGCAACTACTGAGCGCATGAGTCACAACTACTGAAACCTGCACTCCCTAGAGCCCGTACTCTGCAACAAGAGAAGCCACTGCAACGAGAAGCCCGTGTGCCGCAACTGGAGAGAAGACCCAGCACAGCCAAATAAATAAATAAATAATTTGAAAAAATAAAATGCCTGTGACAGGTCAAGAGCATCTCTAAATTGATTTTTTTTTTTAAAGACAAAGAACCTTCCCAGCAGTTGAGAGTGCAGCAGGATTTATCAACCTCAGCAGTGTAGACACTTTGGGTCTGACAGCCCCTTGCTGTGGGCACTTTATAAGATACGTAGCAGCATCCCTGATGCCTACCCACTAGATGCCACCCTCACCCCTCCCCAACTCACGAGTTGTAATAACCAAAAATGTCTGCAGACATTGCCACATGTCCCTGGGGAGAGAGAGAAAAACCGCTCAGTTGAGAAGCTCTGCAGCAGAGCAGATCCACTAATAAACATGTGGCAGGATGCCTCAGTAGTCAGGGACAGGCAGAGAGCAGAATGAGATGTCATTTTAACGATAACACCTACACCTAGCATGAATGCAAGGAAAAGGATGTGTGGAGGATAGTAACAGGACTTCAGAGTCTCCAAGGGAGATCAGTCTGATAATGCAGAAGGGAGACACAAAAATCTCTATGGTGGGGCTTCTCTGATGGTCCAGTGGTTAAGAATCTGCCTTGCAATGCAAGGGACACAGGTTTGATCCCTGGTCTGGGAAGATCCCACATGCCATGGAGCCACTAAGCCCATGCTCCACAACTACTGAGCCAATGCTCTTGAGCCCAAGGTTGGTAACGACTGAGCCCACGTGCCCTGGAGCGCGTGCTCTGCAACAAGAGAAGCCATTGCAATAAAAATTGTGTGCACTGCAACCAAGAGTAGCCCCTGCTCACCACAACTAGAGAAAGCCTGTGTGTGGCAATGAAGACCCACCACAGCCAAAAAAGAATTACTTTTTTTAAAGCTGTATGGTGTAAAACTCAGAGACTGTGTGCCGGTGTCATGCGGGTGTCAAGGGCAGGCCTGCGCAGCCAGCCAGGACTTCCAGGAACTCTAGAGACCAACTGCCAATTGCACTTTGAATGTGGTTCCCTTATTCTGTGATATTTGAGACCAACAGCCCCCAAATTCAAAACTACATACCTGAGTCAGAGGGGTCTGTTTTCCTGTGTTTGGCTGGAGGGTGGGGACGAATTCCACTCCTTTCTGGCTGTTCTGCCTCCGTGAAAACACAAAAACTATGCTGAGAGGGAAACCCCTGAATTTTGCAGACATTATCAACCACAGATGTGGTCCTCCCAGGCCCAGAGAGATGGGCAGGAATTTCCCTCGCTGTCTCTGAAGGACCTAAGGTCACACACAACCCCCAGTAGAACCTGAAACTTTGAAGCCTGTCATCTTCCTGGAATGTAATTTGTTTTTTCTTTCATTTCCACATGCTGACTCCTACCCTCACCTTTTATTCTCTTGCAGTCAGCACCTCCAGTCCAGTGATCAGTAAAAGGGACTTTTTTAGTCTACAAATAATAAGGGCTGGAGAGGGCGTGGAAAAAGGGGAACCCTCCCACACTGTTGGTGAGAATGAAATTGGTGAAGCCACTATGGAAAACAGTATGGAGGGTCCTCAGAAAACTAAAAATAGAACTGCCATATATAATCCAGCAATCCCACTCCTGGGCACATACCCAAACAAAACTATAATTCAAAAAGATACGTGCACCCCTATATTCACAGTAGCATTATTTACAATAGCCAAGACATGGAAGCAACAGTTATATATATATATATAAACTGAATATTAAATGTTCCCCAGCTATTAAAAAGTATGAAATAATGCCATTTGCAGCAACATGGATGAGCCTTGAAATTATACTAAGTGAAGTGAGAGAGACAAATACCATATGATATCACGTACATGTGGAATCTAAAATACGACACAAATGAACCTACCTGCAAAACAGAAAGAGTCACAGACATAGAGAGCAGACTTGTGGTTGCTGAGAGGGAGGGGATTTTGAGGAGGGAAAGATTTTAGGAGGTTGAGATTAGCAATAGATGCAAACTGTTATATAGGATGGATAAACAACAAAGTCCTACTGCACAACACTGATAACTGTATTCAACATCCTGTGATAAGCTATAATGGAAAAGAATACGAAAAAGAACATACATATGTATAACCGAGTCACTTTGTATACAGCAGACATTAAACACGACATTGTAAATCAACTACAACAAAAAGAATTTTAAAGGGACTTTGTGTTCCTCACGTATTCAAAGAATATTAGGTGAAAAGGATTTTCCTACAGGAATGGCCCAGGTTCTAAGCACGGGGTCAACCACCCGAATCTGCATCAAGCCTGCAGTGGGGCAGGGGGGAGGGCGGGCGGCTCTGTGCACGGCCGCGTGGTTCCGCCATCAGGCTCTCGTCTGCACTGCACGTGGAGGTGAGGGGGCCACCCTCACCTCATGAAGCTCCAAGGGCTGCAGCTGCTGGGCCCTAGCTAGCGCTCCTAGGCCCTCCTTCCCCAAACCCCGAACTTGACCCCCAAAACTGGAAAGTCTGATGGGGTGGAATCTCAAATAGTGCCAGGTGCTGTGCGCTGGGGTTCCGGCTGAGCAGGTGCAGGGGGTGCTCTGGTAATTGGTATCCTCCTGGGAAACGAAAGAGCGGCATCCGGCTTCCACTCCCACAGGGTCGGCTTGGGGGGAAGCAGGGGGCTGTCTCCTGTGGGAGCGGACTCCCAGAGTGCCTGAGGGCTCACTGGCTGGGAGGCGTAGGTTTGCTCGCACCCCTTTCGCGGATGGACAGCACTCCAAGGGGGGCAGAGCCAAGGAACCCCTGGTCCTGGTCTCGCAGCAGCAACAGACCAACTTCATGTTCATCTGCAGATGGTGGGGGATGGCCTCCTGTGCTATCCACCTAGACCAGGTGCTTCTCCCCTTAAGGGTGAGTGACCTTTACACTTCCGACCCCGCCAAGGCCTGCCCTTTGGCCCGAATGCCACCGTTAGAGACGCTGGGATGCTCTTCCTACCTAGACCCAGGTACTTAGTGGATCCGACTGCCGCCTTTTCACAGGCCCCTGGCTGCTCCAGGTGTGGTGCCCACCTGCCCACCACCCTAGTATACCTGCCTCAGCTCCCTGTCTCTTGAGAGGAAGCCGAGGGAGAGTGTAACCACTAAAGCAAACCAATACACATGGAAGAAGAGGAAGCAAGAAGCCTTAATAACCGGCCAAAAAGCCAAAGGTGGGACTCCACCAGGAAGCCCCTATTCAACAAATAGACCTGCCTATATACAAAAGGTACATGGTTATTTATTTCAGCATGGCTTACAGTACCGAGTGATTACAAACAACTTAGGCATCCATTAAATGAGGGCTGATGAAATAAATGATTCTGCATCCGTTCAACAGAATCCCATGCATCGTCTGACAGGCTCTCTGTGGACCGTGGCCAGCTCTCATAGAGGCAGTACAGCAGAGTGGTTAAGTCCCTGGGCTCTGAGAGAGAACCTGCCGGCTTGGAAACCCAACTATATCACTTACTGGCTATGTGCCCTTGAGCAACTTAGATACCTTCTGTACTGCCTCTCTACAAAATACTGCCTTAGTTTCCTTAATAATAAAGATAGAGTTCGCCCCTTACATATGAACTTTTAAAGATGCGAATGTGCCATCAGTGTCAGGTGTGAGCAAAATTGCAGCTTGCCGTCCATCTCTTATGCTGACGATTCTTCAGCTCTAACATCTACCATATCCCTCCTCCCTCCAGTCAGTAACTCTTGCTGCCCATTCCCTCGATGACAGCCCCTGTATGCTAGCTGTTGTACTGTACCACTGGACTTTTTAAAATATTTATTTATTTATTTGGCTGTGCTGGGTCTTAGAAGGAAATGGCAACCCACTCCAGTGTTCTTGCCTGGAGAATCCCAGGGACAGTGGAGCCTGGTGGGCTGCCGTCTATGGGGTCGCACAGAGTCGGACACGACTGAAGCGCCTTAGCAGCAGTAGCAGCTAGGTCTTAGTTGAAGCACACAGGATCTTTAATTGCAGCGTATGAGATCTTTTCAGTTGGCGGCATGCGGGATCTAGCTCTTCCCTGACCAGGGATTGAACCTTCCCCATCAGGGAAGTCCCCATACTTTTCAAAGTACCGTTTTGTAAGATTTTAAATGTTTTATTTTTGTGTTTGTTTTTATGCATTATTTGTGTGAAAAATGTTATAACCTATTATAGTACTATATAACCAATCATATGGCAGAAAGCAAAAAAGAACTTAAGAGCCTCTTGATGAAAGTGAATGAGTTGGCTTAAAACTCAGCATTCAAAAACTAAGATCATGGCATCCAGTCCCATCACTTCATGGCAAATAGATGGGGAAACAATGGAAACAGTGAGAGACTTTATTTTGGGGGGGCTCCAAAATCACTGCAGATGGTGACTGCAGCCATGAAATTAAAAGACACTTGCTCCTTGGAAGAAAAGCTATGAACAACCTAAACAGCATATTAAAAAGCAGAGACATTACTTTGCTGACAAAGGTCCATCTAGTCAAAGCTATGATTTTTCCAGTAGTCATGTATGGATGTGAGAGTTGGACTATAAAGAAAGCTAAGTGCCAAAGAATTGATTCTTTTGAACTGTGGTGTTGGAGAAGACTCATGAGAGTACCTTGGGATGCAAGGAGATCCAACTGGTCAGTCCTAAAGGAAAAGTGAAAGTCGCTCAGTTGTGTCCAACTCTTTGCGACCCCATGGACTATCCAGTCCGTGGAATTCTCCAGACCAGAATACTGGAGTGGGTAGACTTTCCCTTCTCTGGGGGCTCTTCCCAACCCAGGGATCGAACCCAGGTCTCCTGCATTGCAGGCGGATTCTTTACCAGCTGAGCCACAAGGGAAGCAGCCCTGAATATTTATTAGAAGAACTGATCCTGAAGCAGAAGCGCCAATACTTTGGCCAACTGATGCAAAGAGCTGACTCATTGGAAAAGACCCTAACACAACGAACGATTGAAGGCAGCAGGAGAAGGGGACAGCAGAGGATGAGATGGTTGGATGGCATCACCGACTCAACAGACATGAGTTTGAGCAAGCTCGGGGAATTGGTGATGGACAGGGAAGCCTGGTGTGCTGCAGTCCATGGGGTCACAACTGAGTGACTGAACTGAACTGATAGCTAGTCATTTTAGTTGAGTACCTAGGCTAACTTTGTTGGACTACAAACAAATTGGACTTAGGAACACACTCTCCAAATGGAACTCGTTTGGATGTAGGGGCCTTACCATGGAGCTAATAATAATAATACCTATCTCCTAATGTTCTTATGAAGAGTAAATAAGTTAACATTTTTAAGATGAGTAGTACCTGACCACCATGCTATCAAGGTACAGAACAGTGTCTGTTAATTAAGTGAAGTCGCTCAGTCATGTCTGATTCTTTGCAACCCCATGGACTGTAGTCTGCCAGGCTCCTCCATCCATGGGATTTCCCAGACAAGAATACTGGAGTGGGTTGCCATTTCCTTCTCCAGGGGATCTTCTTGACCCAGGGATGAAACCCAGGTCTCCTGCACTGCAGGCAGACTCTTTACCATCTAAGCCACCAGGGAATTACATGCTACCTTTTGTGTGTGAATATATATTTTGTTCAGTCACTCAGTCGTGTCCAACTCTTTGAGACCCTATGGACTGCAGCACACCAGGTTTTCCTGTCCACTATCTCCCGGAGTTTGCTCAAACTCATGTCCATTGAGTCAACAATGCCATCCAACTACCTCATCCTCTGTCATGCCCTCATGTCATCCTCTCCCTTCTCATGCCCTCAATCTTTCCCAAATCAGGGTCTTTTCCAATGAGTCATCTCTTCTCATCAGGTGGCCAAAGTATTAGAGCTTCAGCATCAGTCTTTCCAATGAATATTCAGGGTTGATTTCCTTTAGGATTGACTGGTTTGATCTCTTTGCTGTCCAAGGGACTCAAGAATCTTTTCCAACACCACAGTTCAAAAAGCATCAGTTCTTCAGTGCTCAGCCTACTTTATGGTCCAACTCTCACATCTGTACATGACTCCTGGAAAAACCATAGCTTTGACTGTACGGACCTAGGTTTGTTATAGCTTTTCTTCCAGGCATGTATTTATTTCCAGGCAGGTATTTGTACCAAGAAACTCTGGAAGGGTATGTAACAAACTTATAACTAGAATTCAGGAAAGCAAATAAGAGCAAGTGTTTTCATTGTAAATGTTCCTATATGGTTTTGATTTTTTAAACATATAAGTGACTATATACTCAAAAGAGTTAAAAAATAAAGAAGATATTTTAGGGAAGCCAAAACATAGGTGATGATAGGCATTGCCTGAAATGGACTTAAAAAGATGGGACCATTTCACTTTGGAAGGACAAAGACAACACTATGTATGATCAAACTACAAAATTATGAACTTATATGAGCAGAAACAAGGGGAGTCCCTCCTTCACAAAAGAAATGTGCACAGGTGTTTCATGCTCAATAAAATAATCATATTTATTTCATTTTTAATTATTAACTTTCTAAAATAACACTTTTCCTACAAAGAACTCAAAACAGAACTTAGAGTTTATAACAACAAACTTTCTTAACACTCGTCATGCTTCTCAGAGGGTGGAGGGAGGGAATATGAGGTAGACAGAACGGTAAAAAGAGGACGGGCACTACAGATCTGGACACAGGCAACGAGAATGAAGCCAACGGGTCACTGGAGGGCCTGCCACCCAGGGCGGGGGCCCAGGAGAACGCACCCATTTCTGTGACCCCTGGTTTGGGAATGAGGTTCAGAGGCACTCATGGGAGGCTCCCTCACAAGGTTTCCTTATAAGGAGCACTGGGGCTATCCACAGCGCTGGTGTTTCCTAAGCAGTGAGGCCTCCTGGGTGCCTAAGTTCCTTGGGCTCCACCATGAGACCATCACAGACGTCTCATTGCCGGTTGGCCAGACAACAACAGACAAATGGCCAGTGGGTCCGCAGTTCTTCAACAAACCAGACAAAAGCAACAATGGGTGAAACAGAGAGGAGGAGTAGAAGGGTCTTCTTTGCATCTGCCCCGGTGGGATTCATGTTTTCTCAGAAGGGAGAAGGAAAGCAGAGCCTACTGTTTACATCCCTTCTACATCAAATGGTTGTTCCAGAGAAAGCGCAGCAGCATGTGAACTCCTCCAAAGAAAACGAAGACATAGTGAGCCAGGATATCTCTGCCTTCTTGCTGAAAGTTCTGTTTAAAAAGAGAGCAAGAGAGGGAGGGTGAGTTTTTTTTAAAAGGTGATAAAATAATCCAAAGTTAGAAATCCAGTATTAATATTAATTCAGTCAGTGCCACAAACTTGCTTCTTGGGCTGCTTTGTGAAGTGTCTGAGTGGAAGAATATCTTGGTTTGTTCATGATGTCCGTACCATCGACACAACCCGGGGAAGTTTTCCTCTGGACATCTTTTCCCATTTTCACCATCAGCAAATTGGGCACTCTTTTCCAGGTTGATTAACCTCTTCCTCTGGCTTCCCAGAGCACTTTCTTAATCCTCCCAAGGAACCAAGGGAGTCTGCTTTGGGGCTGGAAGAATGGACTTTAGATAGTGAAGAGGGGGTGAGTGTGAGCATGGTTGTAAGCAAAGACCTCAGCAGGTTTCTGGTGCATGCTCAGTCGCTTCAGTCATGTCTGACTCTTGCAGCCCCGTGGACTGTAGCCCACCAGCTCCTCTGTCCATGAGATTTTCCTGACAAGAATACTGGAGTGGGTTGCCATATCCCTTCCTCCAGGGGATCTTCCTGACCTAGGGATAAAACCTGTATCTCCTGCATTTCCTACATTGCAGGCAGATTCTTTACCACTGACCCACCGGAGAAGCTCATAAGTAAATACCACTGTAACTGGAAACCATGAAAGGACTTGTTTTTCCCTTTTATAATTGATATCAATTTAAAAAATTGAGGAACTTTGACAGTGGTCCAGTGGTTCGTGATTAAGACTCTGTGCTTCCACTGCAGGGGGCACAGGTTCAATCCCTACTCAGGGAACTAAGATCCCACATGCCACAGCCAAAAAATTAAAATTAAAAATATTTTAATTAAAAAAGAAAAATTTCTCCACAAGTAGAGAAAAGCCCGCATTAAAAAAAAAAAAAAGAAAAAGAAAAATTGAATTTCCTTTTAGCAAAGCAGACAAGAAAATGTATAGAGCAGTGAGTCAGATGCTCATATATTTAAATTCCAGTTTTGCCACTTAGTTGCTGAGTAACCTTGGATAGGTTATCTAATCTTGCTGAACCTCAAATGCTTCTCCTGATATACCGATTCCACTAATTCATAGGGTTATTTGGAAAAGTAAATGAAACAAATAAGAGTATCCCAGAGTACCTGAAAGACAATGTTTAGTAAATGTTCATTTCCCACCTGTCTTTCTAACAAACTTAAGAAATTTCTTATACATTACTGTCAAGGTCCCAGAGAAAACAGATGACACTCTCAAATTAGGATAATAGGGTTGGATGAAGACACTTTACAAAAGTGGGAGGAGGCATAAGGGTGGCCTAACAACAGAGTTGTTGCCACTCCTAGGCCTATAGGGTCAGGGAGAGGGCAGTTTCTAGGACCCAGGATAGCGTCCTATGGAGAAAAATTTCAAAGGTGCATTTAAGATCCTAAAAGCATAGAAAAACTGTTTTAAAACATACTTTACAGCTAGGAAAATTACATGCCCCAGATTAAAAAAAACAGGTCTTTGAACCAAAACCCCTCAAAACTAGATGGCAAAATAGGTTGAGAATCAAGGCCTATTTGAAAACACCAAACACTTGCTTAAGTGAAAAGAATAAGAAGTCAAGCTATGTGATAGCTTGAGGACAATCAATTAAGCAGACAAAAATACACTTTGGTGTGCTCCTTGCCAGGGAGTTCCAAGAGCAAGAATCAAAGTTTCTTTAAATACATCAAAAGCAGGAAGACATCTGGAGAATCAATGAGACCACTTGATTAAACAAAGTATAAAATGTGAATAAATGATTGTACATGAAAGAAATATACCATGCCAGATTCAAAATTTTGTTAAAGTTACTTGAGTTAAGCCTGGAAGCAGCAGAGTAAAGCCTTTTAGCATTTTAGAGTCAAACTAAGGAATTTTAAAAATTATTTTTAAAATACTCTGTGGTCTATTTGAAGTGCCCTAAATGACAATTTTGCAATACAAGAAAGATTACTTTAAAAGTCTAGGTCAAAGCCAGTTTTGTAAAACATTGCAAGAAAAGCTAGGGCAGGTTTAAGTATAGACATAGATCAATGGAATAGAATTGAGAGTCCATAAATAAAGCCCCAATTTATAGTCAGTCGATTTTCGACAAGGGTGCCAAGGCAATTCAGTAGGAAAAGAGTACTCTTTTCAACAGATGTGCTGTGACAACTTAATACCCATATGCAAAAGAATGAAGATGAACTTATCAGTTCAGTTCAGTCACTCAGTTGTGTCTGACTCTTTGCGACCCCATGAACCGTAGCATGGCAGGCCTCCCTGTCCATCACTCATGAGCATGATTGGAAGTGAAGGTCTAACATTCATGGTTAACATTCAAAGCTGAGGTCTTTGCTTTCGACCATGGTTGGAATAAAATGAACTTATAACTCATACCATATATAAAAATTATCTCTGAATGAGTCAAAGACCTAAATTTAAGAGCCAAAATTCTAAAGCTCTTGGAAAAAAACATAGGCATAAATCTTCATGATAATTTCTTAGGTATGACCCAAAAGCACTAGCAACAACAGAAAAATAGGTGAGTTGAAATTCATCAAAGTTAAAACTTTTGCACTTCAAAGAACACTGTCAAGATGAAAGACAACCTTCAGAATGGGAGAAAATATTTGCAAATAACATATCTGATAAGGGGCTTATATTCAGCATATATAAAGAACTGTGCTGCCGTGCTGTGCTAAGTCGCTTCAGTCATGTGCGCCTCTGTGACACTATGGGCCATAGGCCTCCAGGCTCCTCTGCCCATGGGATTCTCTAGGCAAGAATACTGGAGTGGGTTGCCATGCCCTCCTCGAGGGGATCTTCCTGACCCAGGGATCAAACCCACATCTCTAACATCTCCTGCATTGGCAAACGGGTTCTTTACCACTAGCGCCATTTGGCAGGACCATATAAAGAGCTTCTACAACTCAATAATTAAAATACAACCCAATTTTAAAATGGGCAAAAAATCTGAATAGACATTTCTCCAGAGATTTATATAAATAACCAATAAGCACATGAAAAGATGCACAACATTAACTATCAGGGTAGTGCAAATTAAACTTACAATATGATTCTACTTCATACCCGCTAGGCTGGCTATAATCAAAAAGACAGTTAACTAATTTTGACAAGAATGTGGAAAAAGAGGATCCCTCATACCTTGCTGGTGGGCCACAATATAAAATAGTACAGCCACTTTGGAGAACAGTTTAGAAGTTTCTCAAAAAGATAAAGTTGTCATACGACTCAGCAATTCCACTCCTATGTATGTACTCAAAAAAACTGAAAGCACTCATCTACACAAAAACTTCCACACACATGTCCATAGCATCATTATTTATAATAGTCAAGAAGTGGAAACAACCCAAACGTTCATCAACTGATGAATAAAGTGAAATATATACATACAATGGAATATTATTCATCAATAAAAGAAATGAAGCATTGATTGATGCTACAACATGGATGAACCTTGAAAAAAAATGTGTTAAGTGAGAAGGGGACGACAGAGGATGAGATGGTTGGATGGCATCACTGACTCGGACATGAGTTTGAGTAAGCTCTGGGAGTTGGTGATGGACAGGGAGGCCAGGTGTGCTGCAGTCTGTGGGGTCACAAAGAGTCAGATATAACTGAGCAACTGAACTGAACTGAAGTGAAAGAAGTCAGACATAAAGACCACATATTAATCCCCTTATATGAAATTTCAGAATAGGCAAATCCATAGAGAACATAGATTGGTGGGGCTGGAAGGAAAAATGGGAGGAGATGAGAAAGGACTACTATTGGGTTTGGAGTGTCTTACTGGGGTGATGAAACCGTTCTAAAATTGATTATAATGATGGCTGTACAACTATATGAATAAACATAAAGCCACTTATTATACTGTTTAAATGGATGAATTGTATAACATGTGGATTTTCTTAATAAGGATATTTTTTAAAAAGGAAGAAAAGTGTTAATTTGTTAAGCTGCAGAGGTAAATTTAAGACATAAGTAAATTACAGCTTACAAGGTAAGGGGAAAAAAATCATTACCAAAAAAAAAAAAAAAAGAGGTAAGGGGAAGGAAGAAAAGGAAAATGGAAGAGGAGGTGACATGGAGAAATGACTTCCTGATTAGGTTGAGATAAATGTAGAAAATAGGTGCTTGTGATTTTTTCCTACTCTGCTTTCTCCAGAGGAAAAATTAGAAGGAACCAGGAGTATTCAGAGTGCTAGCTGATAAAAAAGCAGAAAAGTTGAACTAAGGACTTGCCTGTAATTCTTAAAGCACATCATCAGTGAAAACTGCAGAAGAAACTGAAGCATTGGAGCAAGGTGGAGAGTACCATGAGTGCTCTGTAATAAATGATACACGGCCAAGAAGTGTTCAACTCAAATAAGGCCAAAAACAAATTAAGCTGTTGGCTTTGATAACATGTACTGATCATTTTCCGTGGAATTATCTCACTCAATGTTCAGAACAGTCTACTGGCTTCATTCTAAATATAAATCAGAACATGGCACTCTTCTACTCTCCCTCCCCAGAAGCTTCTCTTATAAACACTTAGGGTAAAACCCAAACACCTTTTACCACCACTCCTAAGACAGAGGCCAGCCGCTGGACCTCAACACCCACCCCGCTCAGCCATTCTGGCCTCCTCGCTGTTCCTTATGCCTGTTTCTATGCCAAGGGCTTGGCACTCCCAGTCCCCTCTGTCTGGAACACTTTCTTCCAAGGTATTCCCCTGGCTCACTTCCAGTCTCTGCTCAAATATCACCTCATCAGAGAAGCCTTTCCTGACAGCCTGTTCAGAGTCATCTCCATCACTCAGTATCCCCAGCAGTCTAGTCATCCACTTCACTGTTCGTCCCTCTCCTATGTTACGAGTCTGATGAGAGTAGGCTCATCTTCCGTCCTGCTCTCTGCCTGGAACTGAGTCTGGCATATAGGAAGCACTCAATAAGTATTTGTTTGAGTGGACTTGGTCTGTGAATACCTGGGACTGAGTCTGGTGCATAGTAGGTACTCAATAAATATTTGTATAAAATCAATCTATCAATATTTTGTGTGATTATTTCCTTCTTACTTTAGTAACATTATTGTTGGAACCTTCTGTTCTTGTTCTGTCTCTGGGAATGTTTTACTTGAGGGGATGGCTGAGTACTGCCACATTTGAACCAGAACATAGGAGGAGGCCTGGCACTCCCTGAGGTCAGCATGATGGCAGCAGCAGGGATAAACAAGAAATCGCCACAGGTACTTGTCCTGTGATGAATTTAAGGGCAAGAAGTTGGGCTCCAAGGGTCAGCCACCTGTCCTAGCACAGAGCCCCACATGGTTATTCTCTTTCTGCTGCCAGTTACAGGTTGTTCTGGAGGAAAACTAAGTTGGCCATGGATTTCATCGCGCCTAAAATTTGGGCTTCCCTGGTGACTCAGCTGGTAAAGAATCTTCCTGCAACGCGGGAGACCCGGATTTGATCCCTGGGTCAGGAAGATCCTTCGAGAAGGGAACAGCTACCCACTCCAGCATTGTTACCTGGAGAATTCCATGGACAGAGGAACCTGGCGAGCTATACAGTCCATGGGATCACAAAGAGTCAGACATGACTGAGCGACTAACACTTTCACAGGATTTAAAACAGTAATCTTTATGTTTTCCCTTATTACTTCTTATAATAATCAGGAGAAACAAAGAAATCAGGGAGAGCTGGGCTTAGAGCATAACCTGGGTTGGTTCAAGGAGGATAACCACAATCTAAGTCAAAGGTTCTCCTCCATGATGGAGCATTACATTCACCTGGACTCATCTCTCAAGGTGGGGTCCAGCATCTGTAGTTCTTAAAACTCCACAGATGATTCTCACATGCATCCTAATATGAGAGTGTGAGGCAAAGTTTCTCACATTTACAACTCAGAACCCCAAGGGTGTGTGCAAAATGGTAAATTCTGATGCCAGAGCTATGGGCTGGGGTTAAAGATTTTGCACATCTGGTCAGCTGCCAAATAATGCTGATGCTGCTGGTCTGCGGACCAGTTTTTGCGAGGCAAATGTGAAATCAAATACTGGCATTGGCTCGGTTTCTCAATTTTCAGATCTAATGCTTGGCAATCTGGACATTATTAATCCATGTGTTCTGCTAATTCCTGGGCATTCCAGCTATTTGGCAGCCATTGTTCTTTCTCATTGCTCTTCCCTGCTAGGCCCTTGCTGGAGAAATTTAAGTCTCACCTCTCGCACCATTCTCTGCTCAATGCTGTCCCCAGTGTTTCTCAGCTGCATGGCCAACTTGTGAATTATTTCCTCCTGGTGATGGCTCTGGCCAACACTATCCTCCTTGGGCTGAGAAGGTGGATTGTGATCTACATTGATAGAAAAGGGTTCAGAGATAACTGCATTAACTATCACTCACCACTAGTCACTTAAAACTGTCTTAGACAATGAGAGGAATGAAATACCATCATCATAGTGATTATTGAAAGCAAAGTCTTGCACTGGAAAAAATAGCTCTGTCCAGTAGAAATATAATTCAAGCATATATAAATGTTAATTTTTCTAGTGGTAAAATCAGGTAAAGAATAATTTTAGTAATGTATTTTACTTAAGACAGTATATTCAAAGTATTGTGACATATAATCAATATAAAATTATTAGTGATATGTTTTGCACTTTTTTATTTAAGCTTTCAAAATCCAGTATTTATTTTATACTTACAACACATCTCAATCCAGATATTAACTAATTTCATTGGAAATCCTTGTATTTTACTTCATGAAGTGTTGATTTGTATTTAGATTTCATGAAGTTTACAATTAAAAAGTAAATTCATATATCCAAGTTGTTCCACACATACCTAAAACTTTTCCAACAACTAAATCAAGTATCAGGTTTTTTTAACTTAATTAAAATTAAGTAAAACTTAATATCAGTTCCTCAATTGCACTGACCACATTTCAAGTGCTCTATTATATTCCAATACTGAATTTTTAATATCCAAAAGGAAAAATTATCTCACTTTATGCCAAAAATTGTGTGGACATATACATATCCACATAGAATTCTGAAAATAAAACGGTCATCTAAATGACCTCCTGGGAAATTTGGAAACATCTCATCATTAATCTTTTCAAAAGAATAATTCCTTCATAAAGCAAATAACAAGCCTCATGTGTACTGGGACTTTAAAAATGTTGTATCAACAAACAAAAGGTTCTTTCAGTTGCACTTAAGAAAACTTTTAAGCAAATATGACTTTAAGGTTTTGTAAGTGCTTTTCCACTGCCAGCTATAATGTGAATATTTTATTGTCTCAGATGGTGGTCATCTTTTTATAATCTTGATTTTATTCAATAAAAAATAGAGGTAGGGCTTTCTGGTTTAAGACTGAGCACAAGCATTGACCTTTCTGTTTCTCCTAGTCCCTCCCAAGACCCCACCAAAATGAAAGTATAAAAAAGAGTAAAACTGCAACAAGTGCAAAGAATGGGAAGCAGAGTCAACAGCAGATGAGAGATCTATACGTGTTTCTAGAGGGCAGAAAGAAGACAAGATACAGACAAGTGAGCCAGAAAGAGAAAGTGCCAAGAACCCATGATAGGAAGCCCCTTTACTCACCAGGACCCGGAACCTGGGAAAGGGAAACATGCCATTGACTAGAATTCTAGTGAGGATCTACTGTACCACTTGGTACCCTTGACAGCTCCAGCCCACTGCACCCATCAGATTTCAGGTAAAAAAATCCAGACCATGCTTCTCTAACAGGAGAGCAAACCTTGTGGAGAGAGCTAAAACTTCTTTATGAATGTTGGTGCCTCAGGTCAAAGGTCTCCTTGTTCTAGCATTTGAGGGATCTGGGGCCAGAAAGTCAGCTTCCCTAACTCATCGCCCTAAAACTCCCCCAGTTCAGACACCCTTGATGAGTCTCCATTCAGTGAGGAGCCCTGGGAAGCAGTGAGGCATAGTGGTAAGATTCTGAAGCCAAATCATTTGGGTTCATATGTAAAATCTATAGATAAAACTATGTAACCTGGGAAAGTTATTTAATCTCTATGCCTTCGTTTCTTCAACTGGAAAATGGGAATGGTAATATATTATCAATTCTAAGATTTTACAATTCCTCTAAAAGAGAATGTGTTTTATAGTCTATGACAGAGCCTGGTGGGCTGCCATCTATGGGGTCGCACAGAGTCAGACACGACTGAAGTGATTTAGCAGCAGCAGCATGTCATATTCTAACAGCATTGTTTATTTTCTTAGTAGGAAACAAAATTATAGTACATTTTACAATTGATGGAATATTAAACTTAGTGAGCAGAGAAGGAAATGGCAACCCACTCCAGCATTCTTGCCTGGGGAATTCCATGGACAGAGGAGCCTGGTGGGATACGGTCCATGGGGTCGCAGAGTCCGACACAACTGAGCGCACACAGCACAAACTTAATGAGATACCATAGTAACTACCTTGTAGAGGGGTTGTTGAAATGATTAAGTGAGTTAATACATTTAACCTGTGCAGGACCACACCTGGAACATGGATAAATGCCATATGAGTGAGTGAAAGTCGCTCAGTCGTGTCTGACACAGACCCCATGGACTGTAGTCCACCAGGCTCCTCTGTCCATGGAATTCTCCAGGCCAGAATACTGGAGTGGGTAGCCTTTCCCTTCTCCAGGGGGGATCTTCCCAACCCAGAGATTGAACCCAGGTCTCCTGCATTGCAGGCGGATTCTTTACCAGCTGAGCCACCAAGGACGCCCAAGAATACTGGAGTAGGGAGCCTATCCCTTCTCCAGGGAATCTTCCCGACCCAGGAATAGAACAGGGGTCTCCTGCATTGCAGGCGGATTCTTTACCAACTGAGCTATCAGGGAAGCCCAAATACTATATAAGTGTTAGCTACTGCCACCAACTGGGAAAACAGTCCTCACATAACAGCAGAAAAAACCCACATGAGTTAACTGGTCGTATTTTTTTTTTTAATAATAGATCACCAGGCAACTGAGAAGAACCATAGAATGAAAGAGAAATACCAGATAAACAAACAAAATAGTGATCCTGAAGAAAACAGATGTAATTCAGGAGACAGAAGAGAATGTGTACAAGTTCTAATGTATATGTTTAGAGTGATTTAAGAAAATATTACATTTAGTGACTTCCCTGGTGATCCAGTGGTTAGGACTTCACCTTCCCCAGGGGTTGTGGGTTTGATCCCTGCTCAGGGAGCTAGGATCCCACAGGCCTGTGGCCAAAAAACCAAAACATAAAAACAGAAGCAATATTGTAACAAATTCAATAAAGACTTTAAAAAAAATGGTTTACATAAAAAAAATGTCTTTATTAAAAAAGACAATATTACATTTAGGAAACAAAAGAAAATGCTATGAAAAAAGACTAAACCTACAACAAAATCCTTCAGTTTTTAAAAATATGATTGCTAAAATTAAAAATACAATTGATTGTCTGAGAAAAGAAAATCACTCAGAAAAAAAAAATCAGAATTTTTAAATAGGCGAGATAAAATAGGTGATATGCAGAACCAATCTGGAAAGACCAGGATGTGATTAGTAACAGTCACAGAAAGAAATAGAGGAGGAAAATTGTTAAATAGCATAAGACAGCTTCCCAGCTCAAACTCCAGATTAGAACATCTCACCAAGAAAAAAGAAAGCCCCATCAAATTCTAAGGACAACAAAAGGGGAAATAAAATCCTCACCTCTGGACCATACTGACATTTCAAAAGATGTCATTTTGGCTAAATATGCTAAAGATCTCCAAAGAGAAACATGGGTTAGTTTGATGACGGACTTCCCATCAGTAATGGATTTTAGAATATGGTAGAACAATTAATACCCTCAAGAATTTTTTTTTTTGGTCATGCCATGTGCTTTCCAAGATCTTAATTCCCCGACCAGAGAGGTTGAACCCTGGCCCTTGGCAGTGAAAGCATCAAGTCCTAACCACAACCACCAGGGAATTCCCACCCTCAAGGATTTTATAAAAAAATTCTTTTCAACCTAGAAGTCTATGCCTACCTAATTCTCGATAATTTGTGAAGGGTGAATAAAGACATTTGCAGACGTGCAAGGACTCAGGAAGTTGTTCTCCCATAAACAATTTCTTAGGAGAGGTTTTCCAGTGAAACAGAGTATGACTAAACCCAGGGGGAAAAAAGCAAAATCAGCAAAAGGTGAATCCGACGCTGGGAAGGGAAGTCCCAGGATGACAGGCCTGATAGTGATGAGATTGGAACAAGAGAACAGCTCTAGAAGGGAAGTCCCCGAGGAAAGGGAGATTTGATCAAAGACATAGCATGACTGAAAATTTGTGAAACTTGAAGATATCACAACTACAGCTCTAAAAGGGAAGTCCCTGAAAAGGAGATTTGATTGAAGACATAGCACGATTGAAAATTTGGGAAACTTGAAGATATCATAACTACAAATCATGTGAGCAGCAGAGGAGAGGCAGTGAGAAAGTCCAGGAAACATAGGTAATACAGAAAGTTTATGGCGCTAATGAGAAGCCAGTTAAGATGTGGCTTAAGTTTAAACGGGGCTTCCCTGATAGCTCAGTTGGTAAAGAATCTGCCTGCCATGCAGGAGACTCCAGTTCAATTCAAGAATCAGGAAGATCTGCTGGAGAAGGAATAGAGTCGCAAAGAGTCGGACTCGACTGAGTGACTTTCACTTCCATGACTCACTACTTGTAGATGTGGATTATGTAAACTGTCAACAATCCATCATTTAATGTACAGCATACTGTCTCAAAAATGTACATAACTGTGCTTTGACCTTTAATGGACAGAATAGTTCTCAGAGTTTTCTGAGAGGCTATTCCAGGGTTATAATCTTCAATTTGGCTCGAAAAAAAATTTCCATTTCTTTCTTAGACCAACTGATCAACTTTTTTTTGTGGGCACTCAGCCTGATTTAAGCAGTCACAGCTTTAATCCCCTATTTTATTACTTGGAGATGATTATTCTCAGGGAAAATCACTTCAGTACCTACAGATTTTATTGGTGGTAGTGACCACTCCTGAACCCCAGAGCCTTAAGAGAATGTGAAGAGTATTTGCATAACCTTTTACCTTTGTAACATAACAAGTGGAGAGAAGAAAGGGCAACTGAGTGGGGAGACCTTCCAAATGAGTATCATCAACCTCAGAATGGATTTAGGACCAGCCCTACCTGTGCCAATCAAAAGCATGATGATTTGCAACTATCATTTTAACTGACTGTCCCCTGGGAAGTACAAAATCTAGCATCTGCAGTATGAAGACAGAATACAAGTTGGGTAAGTTTCAGTAATGGACGCTGGGAGAAATGGAACTATAAGAACGCTAACAAGCCTTGGGTATTCCAGC